TCAGGACACTTTGGGTCTTCCCTCTTCCACACACCCTACAGGCTTGCCCAGAATTACTACCTGTAACAGAGCAATCTTCACCCTAAACTTTCCCCTTCTTCCCAATGCCCACACAATTAAGGTCCAGTGAAGCCAATCACTAAGACTATAGACACCAACCTTGAGGACATTATGCTGAGTGAAAGAAGCCAGACACAAAAGGACAAATGCTATACATCCCACTTATTCGAGCAAATTTGCAGAGATAGTTAAATGGTGGTTGCCAGGGGCTGGAGGAAAGGGAAATGGGGAGTTAGTGTTTAATGGGGACAGAGTTTCACTTTGGGTAGTGAAAAAGTTCTGGAGATGGATCGTGGTGATGACTGCACAACAATGTGAATACACTAAATGCCACTGAACTGTACACTTATAAATGGTTAAGATGGTAAATTGTTATGCGTTTTACCACAATACATTTTTTAAAAGAATGTAGTTACTGCTTGGTTTATTCTTATACATAAATGTTGACCTCTGCCCTGACACACTTACTCTAGCATTTCTTCTCACTTGTCCTCAAAAAAACTGTGTCCATTTCTGTCCCTGACCCTTTGACTTACTCTCCTATACCCTAAAAACGCTCTGCTTATCATTTCTAAGTCTTCAAATGCACCTTAAATTTTCCTTGTTTTGGTCCCCATGGTATTTCTTGTTTAAACTTCTTTTTTTTAAAGATTTTTATTGGGGAATTGGGGAAGAGGAACAGTGTTGGGGAATTGGGGGAGGGGAGCAGCCTAGTTGTTGTCCTTCAATCTTAGTTGTGGAGGGCGCCCCTAGCTCAGCTCCAAGTCCACTCGCCATCTGGCTGCCCGTCGGCAGCTCGCAGCCACTCAGCTCAAGGTGCTGTATTCAATCTTACTTGTGGGTGGGTGTAGCCCACCATCCTATGCGGGAGTCGAACCCTGGCAACCTTGTTGTTAGGAGCACGTGGTCTAACCAGCTGAGCCATCCTGCTGCCCATTGGCAGCTCAGCTCAGTCGCAGCTCACTGGCCCATGTGGGAATCGAACCGGTGACACTGTTGCTCAGAGCTCGCGCTCTTAACCAACTGAGCCACTTGGCTGGTCCCTTGTTTAAACTTCTGATGTGAGCAGTTAATCATGCTGTTTCTTGTTATTTCACCATTTCACACTTGGGTCTTGTCCTGTTCTTTCTCCCCCAACACACCCTAAGTTCCTTGATGCCTAGGACTGGGTCTCACACTTGGCATAATAGAGAACTTTGAGGCACAGACCAGGTCTCAAAGATGTGACGAATGATCAAATGGTGGGTGGAGAGGAGAAAGTTACAAAAGGGTTCCATCTTCTTCCAAGCTGGACAATCTGTGAGGGGTTTGAGGCTCATCAGAGCCAGTCCAGGCCAGAAAAGATGAAATATTCCCTCTCTAAGAGTTGAGGAAGCCTTTCAGAGAGGAAAAGAAATCACAGCTCACCTCTGAACAGACTGCCTTGCACTCTTCTTTTGGTCATCCTTTTGGGGGAAGAGCAGAGTCCTGAGAAGGCAGTGCTGAGGGAGGAAAAAGAAACCATGACAGACTCTGGCCCTGCCTGAAGCAAGCACACTCCTAAGCTAAAAATGTCCACCCTGATTGGGTACTCCTCTCCTGTGAAATGGCAAAGTCACCTGTCCTACCTGCTTCACAGGCCGTGGAGTTCAAAATGAGATAAGAGACAGTGCTTTGCTAAGTGGAAGCCAGAATGAAAGAAATGAGTGAAAGGGCCGGCCGAGTGGCGCGATGGTTAAGAACTGGCTTGGGATGCCAGAGGGCCCCGATTCGGATCCCACATATGAGGGCCAGTGCCACTGCCCTCTACAGCTAAGATGCTGAACAACAGCTCAACCTGGAGCTGGGCTGTTGTGAGTCGCCAGCGATGGTGTAGGCTGCAGCTCCTGTGGCAGTGGGTTGCCATGGGCTACCGTGTGTAGCCAGCAGCCAGCGTGAGCGGCCAGCAGCCGCAGTGAGCGCCCGTCCTGAAGCCGGCAACTGATCTGCCTCGCCCGGGAAGAGCACAATGATGGTGCCAACTTGGGCCAGTGAAGCAATGTCCTTCACAACTAGACTGAAGACCAAAACGACAGCAACTTGTCTGTTCCCCTTCCCCAATTCCCCAGCGCTGTTCCCATCCCTCCAATTCCCCAATAAAAATCTTTAAAAAAAAAGAAAAAGAAATGAGTGAAAGCCTGTGCGGCACAAACCTTGGCAAGGGAGGGTTTACACCAGGCAGTAGGTGACATCTGAGCTACTCCTCTCTTCCCAGCCTCATGAAGGGAGCAGCCAAGAGAACACAGTGGGGCTGCACTGTCCAGATATTTCAGTGATAACATTTTATATTGATCACAAGTTGAAATGATAATACTTTTGGATACGTTGGGTTAAATGAAACAAAAAATCATTTCAGTTCATTCCACCGGTTTCTTTTTAATTCTAAATGTGGTTACTAGAAGATTTGAAAAGCACACGTGTAGCTTACATTTCTATTGGACAGCGTTGCCCCCAGGAAATGCTGCCTGGTACACCACCACGTGGCAGCTTGGCATCTCCAGGGCAATGGATGCCTTCTTTGCCCCAGCCATCCAGACTAGCAGTCCTCTGCCCCAAGCATCAGTTTTCTCCTCCCTCTGACTAGGGAAGGGCTGACCCGCCTTCCCTGTAGCCTCTGGGTCTCGCCTCTCTGCCTTACTATATGAGTTGGTTACTCCATGGTCACTCTTCCTTCCCTTCTGAGGAGTGGGCTTCACACCAAATCCTCCATCCATTAGGGCTACAACACCAAAGCGTTAAGTTCTGAGCAGTGAGGCAGAGGGTCGCCTCCATGGGGACATCAGGGCCCTGGGCAAGCCCACGGAAAATGCAGTTGGTTCGTGTGCCAGCTTACCTCCACCACCAGCCTCACCGATCTCCTCCAGCAAGCCTTTCTCCTGCTGTCAAAGGCACCAAAGCAAGGCCATCACCATGGCAACTTGGCCTGCCCCGCAGCCACAGTCACTGGATGGCAAGAAGGAGGGCAAACCTCCAGACTTCACCAGATAGCGGCTCAGGAAGGACGCCAAGCCTGCCACGGGAACTTAGTGCTTGTGCCCCACGCCACCGCAGCTGCCACCTCCACTGCGGCCTCCAAGCTCCTCCCCGGCCCGTGGTCGTGTTTCTGGGGTCTCAGGCTCCCAGTCGTGCACTCCTTGGAAGGGACTATTAGCCACCATTGCACCTCAAGTACCCACGGAGGCACTGAAGCCCTCCCGCAAGATTCTGGGAGTTGTAGTCCACGGCCCCAGGCGCAGGTGGGGTCTAGGCAAGCATCGCCCCTCCGCAGGTGGCGGGCAAGGAGGCAGAAGCCCAGGAGTCAGCGGCAAGAACCTCGAGGACGAGGACCTCAGGGACGTGCGGTGCCCAGCGAACTGGCTGGGGGTTCCCGTGGCCAAGCTGCCTGCTAACACACCTGCAGCCATATGTGTCGTGGTGGTGAATGGGACAGTGTGGGTACTGGACAGGCATGCTGTGCTCCTGCGGGCTGCAGGGGGCAGAATGAGGATTGCAAAGGTAAACTGCCTCCACAGGTGAGGGTTGAGTGCTTTCCGTGAATCAGGCATTGGGCTATGCATGGGAGAGCAGGGAACCCAGACAAGCTCAGGCCCTACTCTCCGGGAGTTCAGCAATGATACAGCATTGGGTCCAGTTGCCAGGATGCAGAAAGCTACTGAGAACGGTACCCAACTACGAGCCCACAGCAATGGGAGGGGTAAGGCCCAGCAGGGAACCTTCAACCAGGGCAATACCTGATTTGGTTATGGGTCTGTAGACCACAGAGCCTGATTTGGTTATGGCTACCTGAATGGAACAAAGTACTGCTATAAGGAACAATACCATTTAGTCAGGTAAAAGTGAATGGTTAATACCAACTAGTTACACTAATCATCTCCCTTAACACACCCAAACCCTATCTAATTGAAACCAAAATTCTATTGATTCCACCTTAAAATATTTTTCAAATTCACTTACTTCTCTCCACTTCCAATATTACCACCACAATCCAAGCCAGGAGTATACAACAATGGGGTTTATGCACCTCTGGGGATGTACAGACTTTTCAAGGGTTAGGTGGGCAAGGCTACGTTTAATTTCCAGGTATTTCACATTCAGGCGCTTGAGAATTGACAGCTTGTGCAGCTGGGAAGAGGCCTGCCCAGAGTAGGCGAGGATGTGCTTGGCAGAGGAGGCAGGAGCAACACAGACCACTAGGTCCCCTGCCCGAAGGGCAGTCATTCCCTGCTGATGCTGCCTGTGACCCAACTGATACAGCACAACCCACAACCCACCACCCACAGGGAAAGGCAGGCCCAAGGGGTTAGGCTCCAAGTGGAGAAGAACTTTCTCGAGACAATGGACGCCTAGCCCACAAAATGGGAAAGGCACCAGCCAAGCCAGGCACTGCGTCACCCTCTTTGTGGCTGGCCATTGATTGATACCAGTGCAGTGACCGCTTTGGTCCATCCTGCACCCTTGCGGCCCAGGCCTGCTGCCTGCAGCCCCCAAGTGAGGTGTGGGCAGTGTGGAGCATGGTGTGTGTGAGAGCGCATGTGCACATGTGGCAACTACTCCACTGAGTCGCACCTGGTGCCCCTCTAGATGAGGTGCTCCTTGCCTAGACTTGGGCCAAGACCAGTCCTTGGTGTCGAGGAGGGGGGAAGGGAAAGAGAAGCCCCAGAGGCTCCCCACCGCTGGTCAGAACGCAGCGCTGATGGGCGCACCTGAGGCCTGTCCAGCCGCTTTCCCGACGGCACCCCGGAGTGTGGACACCCAGCCACGCTGGCGCCCCAAGTGCATGTTCTGGAAGGGGCGGGAGACAGAGCTGGGTCCCGGGTGGGCGCATGGATTCTCGGACCCCTAGGATTCCCACCTGTGCTGGCGCCTCCTTGGGGGCGGGAGGAGCAGGTGACGTCACGTGAGGTCCCGGGGCGCGCGCGCAACAGTGGCAACGCCGTCGCGTAACCCGCGTAAGCCAATGGTTCGGCGGTCTCCAAGGCAATGCGGAGGGTCCACGCTCCGGCGCCAAGGCGCCCCCGCCCCTGAGTCCGCACTGCAGAGAGCCGTGGCGAGCAGGCGCCAGCGCGCTGGCCCACGTGCCGCGGTTAGAGAGGGAGAGCGAGACGCGGCGAGCGAGCGCCTGGAGAAGACGGGCTTCCGACCCCGGAGCTGCTGCGCTTAGCCTCGCGCCACTCCTGCTGGGACCTGGATAAGGAAGGACCCCGCCCCTGAAGAAGGTACTAAACTTGGGGACGGTGAGCTTGGCCCCTGGACATCAGACTGCCCTCCGCCCACCCCAGCAGGACTGTGACAGCCCCGGGGCGAGGTGGAGGGTGAGCGGTGTGGGCAGGGGGCTGTGGCCCCTGTGGGCATACGGAGAGCAGGGATCTAGCCTGGGCTGCAGAGGGGCTTCCAGGAGAGGAAGGGCAGCTGGGGGTGGGGGTGGGGGGAGTCAGCATTAACCTTGCTCTCCGCCCCGTTCGTATTCACAGGCTGTGGGTTTGCCGTCGTCCTGGGAGTTGGCCCAGATGTCTGTGCATCACGCCCTGATCATTCCCCACTAAATTAGATGCCTTAGAGACTGGAGCCATGCCGTTGACCCTGTTCCAGGACTGGTGCAGGGGCGAACATCTGAACACCCAGAGGTCCATGCTCATCCTGGGGATTCCTGAGGACTGTGGTGAGGATGAGTTTGAGGAGAGTCTTCAGGAGGCTCTCAGGCACTTGGGCACATATAAGATTATTGGCAGGATGTTCAGGAGGGAGGAGAATGCCCAAGCGTTTCTCCTGGAGCTTGCCCAAGATATGGACTATGATTTGATCCCCAGGGAAATACCAGGAAAGGGAGGGCCCTGGAAAGTAGTGGTAAAACCTCGTAACTCAGATGGTGAATTTCTCAATAGACTGAACCGCTTCTTAGAGGAGGAGAGGCGGACAGTGTCAGACATGAACAGAGTCCTCGCATCGGACACCAATTGTCCCTTTCCCAGACTGGCCATATCACCAGAATTCTGGACTTGGGCCCAGACCCTGGGGGCAGCAGTACAGCCTCTGCTAGAACAAGTGTTATACCGAGAACTGAGAGTGTTTTCTGGGAACACTGTGTCCACTCCAGGGGTGTTGGCCTTCGAAGCCTGGCTTGAGCACACCACTGAAGTGTTACAGATGTGGCAGGTGCCTGAGGAGGAAAAGAGGAGACGGCTGATGGAATGCTTGCGGGGCCCTGCTCTGCAGGTGGTCAGCGGGCTCCGAGCCCACAACGCTGCCATAACTGTGGAGGAGTGCCTGGCAGCCCTGCAGCAGGTGTTCGGACCTGTGGAGAGCCATAAAATCGCCCATGTAAAGTTCTGTAAGGCCTATCAGGAGGCAGGAGAGAAAGTCTCTAGCTTTGTGTTACGGTTAGAACCCCTGCTCCAACGAGCCGTAGAAAAAAATGTGGTATCACGAAGGAATGTGAATCAGGCTCGTCTGAAACAAGTGTTAGGTGGGGCCACCCTTACTGACAAACTTCGGGACAAGCTTAAGCTAATGAAACAGCAAAGGAAGCCTCCTGGGTTCTTGGCACTGGTGAAGCTCCTGCGTGAGGAGGAGGAGTGGGAGGCCACCTTAGGCCCCAAGAGGCAGAGGCTGGACCAGCTGGAAGCAGGCATGAGATCAGCTGCCAGAGCCAGTGGTTTCAGACCAGTGTGTTTCCCTGCCCCCAGCAATACTCTACAGGCCAGGCCTCCCCAAAGTTCCCTGCGCAGGAGAGGCAGAGGCCAGCACCACAGGGAGGGTGTGTCCAGGGCTGGCTCTGGCTGCAATGGAGTCGGGAAATGGGGGCTGGGCTTGGGACAAGAGCCATCCCAAGCCCAAGGCCAAGTAGGCTCAGGAAAACAGGGCAGCTCTTCTTACTATAGGCAGAGGAGACAAAGGAGATGTTGGAAGAAAGGGAAGGGGCAGTCCGCACAAACAGCAGAGGACTTGAGTAGGGCAGAGGGGCCAGGTAGTCAGGCCCAGGCCAAGCCCCCTTGCCCTCTACCAGCTGAAAGGGACTCTACCCGTGAAGCCGAAGACGGCTCATGGTGGGCCAAGCACACGGTCCTGAAGAAGTACCAGCAACACAAACAAGGGGCCACCACACCCGGTACATGTGTTGCTCCAGCCACGGGAGGGGACTCCACCACAGCAGAGGCTGAAGGAGGTGCAACTGGGGGCTCTGGCCTCGGCCCCTTCATTTGGCCACCCCCAAACGCCCACCCTGTGTGCTCTGAGCTACGAATGCCGACCGGCTGCCAGGCCACGCGGGGCCTGGAGGAGGCTTCCCCAGGGCCGACCGTTCCAGAAGGAGCCAGTATGGGCGAGGAAGAGCTGCTGCACAGAGAGGTAGTGTCCCTCACCCAGAGGGGAGGCTGCAGGGTCCAGCCCATTTTCAGAATCAGCTACAGTGCTCTAGGGGAGCCCCAGGAAGGCAGCACCTCGAGCCCCTGTGCAAGTGAGGCCAGGAGACCCAAAGGCCCTGGGAGCCCAGCGCCAACCTGCAGCCTGGAGGGGCGGTGGGGGCAAGGACAACAAGGACTGAGAAGAAAAGCCCCAGATGAGAGCCTAGGCTCAGCCTGGCAAAGGGGTCACTGGGGACTTGGGATAGTGCCCCACAGCTGGTTTTGGTGGGAGTAGGTGTGCAGGAAGACTTTTGTTCCAAAGCAGGAGCAGTATAGGAGGAGGAAAAGGGGGGGCAGGTAGAGGGGGAGAACAGGAGGAGGAGGAGGTGAGCAGGAGAGGAGGAAGAACTGGAGGAGGGGGAGTTGTTGGAGAGGTGTATGTTCTGCTTGTTTGTGCAGGGTTACTGGAGACCTGGAGAGAGCACGCAGAGAACAGGGACAGGCCTGGAGAACCACGACTCAGCAGCTGCCAAGGCCAACTCCAGCCCTAAACCCTTCCAACTTGGGTAGCCAGCCTGGGAGCACCCTCAGCAGCCTGTCCCGGCCTAGGTGAGGGGCACCTGAACACGTCTGCCACCCGCCCTGGACTGGGAGTCGTTAGGGGCCATCCCTGGGGTGCCAGTCGTGGGAACTTCCATTCTCCATCCCCTGGGGCAGGCTGCTCCCTGTACTGGGAAGCCCCCACCCCATTCCTCTGTAGGCCCCATAGTGATCCTCGTGTCAAGTAATCACCCCCCTACACACACACGCATACACGCACACACATGCCACGATTCCCATGCACAGCTGCCAGGCATGCATGCCTCCAGGGTGGGTGTCCTGGCCAACATGGGGAGCCACCCTGGGCCCCGGCACATGTGAGCTTCCTGCCAGCCAAGGCTCTGCTCGCTCTCGTCCAGTGTCGTTAGCTCAACCTCTGCTTTCTCCATGCAGGTTTAGGCCAACCGCTGCTTGTTCTTGTGGAGATGTGTGTGTTTTTGTGTGAGCAGTTTTCTCCCGCTGACCACCCCACCGTGGAGACCCAGAGCCCAGCCCCAGGCGACTGCGGGCACGGCCGGTGCTCACCCTCTGACTTCAGGAAGGAAGAACTGGACCAGGGCCAGAGGGGGACTGCCAGCGTCTCCACGGGGACTGTGCTCTGATGTCTCACCCTGTTGTTCCTTGTGACTCAGTTTACTTGGCTTGGTGGAATGTCCGCTGCTGTGTTTTCCAGCATCCTGTGACTGTCCTGTGCAGGCCATAGGGCATAGCCAGACCTCAGTATGTGAGCCGGGGATGGGTGGGAGGAGGGATGCCCTGTAGTGAGTGGACATCGCCAGTGTCCATCGTCCTTCAGTGGCCAATCGTGGGGCCCTCAGGAAGGGGGACTATGGCGGGAAGACCAAGGTGAGGGGGCACAGCTGAGACACCTTTACAGGGTCCCCAGAAGGAGGGGGTCCCAAGTCCTATGGATTCTAGTGGCCATTAAAAGTTCATTTCTGTGTTTTCGTTCCCTTTCTTCAATGGTTTCAGTAAATATTTCTGTTAAATAAATGTCATTGAATATTTTGGTGGAGTCTCGCCTCTGCTGTGGGCAGTTGAGGGAAGGATCTGCTGGGAGTGGGGTTGTACAAGAGTAGCCTGGGACCCCGAGTCAGTATTGGGGTATAGTGAAGGCAGGGTACAAGAGATGCTGTGAGGTCCCTGGGACTGGACAGCACCGGTAGCAGCAACTCATGGACACGGGCAGTGGCTGGTTGGGTCCCCAGAAATCTCAGGGATCTTCCAGGAATAAGTGGGTTAGGCATTGAAGAAAGGGGAAGGGACAGCAGGCAGGACTGGAGGCCCCGGGATCCCTGGCTGGGGTGTGGAGTCTCAGGGTGTCCAGTCGGGTCAGGGAGGTCACATGTGCAGTCCAAAGAGGGACCTGGGTGGCTGCCAATATTCCTTGGTTGTTTCTGCATCACTCCAATCTTCAAGGTCAGAATTTTCCAATGTCTGTCTGTACCTTCTTATATTGCGTTCTACTCCTCAGCATGTGTGTGCATACGTGTGTGTGCACATGCATGCATGCATGCATGCGATCTTCTTTGAGTCTCTCTTATAAGGATAGTTGTGATTCGATTTAAGGCCCATCCAGATAACCAGGATAATCTCCCCATCTAAAAATCCTTAACTTAATCATATCTGCAAATTCCTTTTTCCCAAATAAGGTTATATTTACAGGTTCCAGGGATTAGACCTGCATTCTTTGAGGGCCTTTATGCAGCTTACTACAGGTCCCAATTTGTGCCCCTGCTCTATTCCAACCTACTGGGCTCACCTTTCCCTTCCACTGATATCTTCTGTTGGAAAGTTCCTGCAGATAATTGTCTAATAAATCCACACAATAAAACAAAGTCTTGGCTTTCTGGGTGAAAGATTATTTTTTACCTTTAAGATTTTCACTGGGAAATTGGGGAGGGGAACAGTGTTGGGGGATTGGGGAAGGGGAACATTGTGTCTTTCCAAGACCCGTCAGCTCCAAGTCAAGTTGTTGTCCTTCAATCTTAATTGTGGAGGGTGCAAGCTCAGCTCCAAGTCCAGTCGCCGCTTTCAATCTATTTGCGGGGGGAGGTGGGGGGTGCAGTCCACCATCCCATGTGGGAGTCGAACTGGCAACCTTGTTGCACACTGAGGCATCCGGCCGCCTGTCGGCATAACTCTTAACCAACTGAGCCACTCGGCTGGCCTAGGTGTCTATTCTTATAAGAAAGAAATGATGCCCCTTCCAATATGGAAGGGACCCACATGTAGTCACATGAAGGAATGGTGCCATACTGGGCTCACAACATTGGTCTGTGCTGCTGGCAGATTGGACATGCAGAGCCAGCATTAGCAATATAGATCTTGGTGAGTAGGATTTTGTGTTGTTGGGCCCCAAAGCAGTGTCTAACTCTCCTACTGTGGCCATTTCATTCATGTGCCCATTGTGTCATTCTGGACCGACTGGTAGGGAAGGGTGGCTAACATCAATTTGCCAAGCCATTGTTTCTACTCAGCTGTTAATAAGTTCCTCTTCAATTGGTGATGCTTTCTGATGGGCATTAGTATGTGATATAAAAGTATTCTTCCTTCATGCTCACTCCAATATGTCTTTCATAGGCCTCTACCCCAGATCTCCTTGTCTCAAATCTTCTAGTCATTTCCCTTCTAGGCTCTCGGCTAGGCCATTGGCCACTGCTCAGGAATACATATATTTTCACTTTTCTTCCACAAAAAGAATGATGAGCTATACCCCTTGTAGCTCCCTCCCATTTTATTTCAGGGACATCCCTGGGTGTGGCTGGAATGCAGCTGCCATACATTTTCAACTTGTACCCACATTCCAAGCCAATCCATCCAAATGCCAAGCTTAGGCCTTTTCTTCCTCCTTCAGCTGGCTACATTGGATCATGTAGCCATAGGTGTGAGTTGAAGGAGTGGCTCCGGTGTAAATATGAAGGATAACAACATAAGGGTGTGAGGTACTGCTCAGAGAGGTTACTGACACCTCTGTTCCTACCCAGGCTGTATTCTACATGTACCATTTCCATCCTACAGTGAATTGCTGATGGGCCATCTCAATTTGACTTGATGAACCTGACAGGACCCAGCTCATAATGAGAAGTTCCAGACATACAGTCATTTGGTGTCCCATAGTGAAGCATTCTGTCCCTACCAGGGCCCAGAAGCACACCAGAAACTGTTTCTAGAAAGTCATATAATTCTCTGATGTGAATGGTACATCCCTGCTCCAGAACCCCAGGGGCCTGCCTACCTGGCAATTCTTCTACAGGGGCTGGCCTTGAACTCTACACTGCATCCTTGCCCATGACTGATACCTGTAACACTACAGGATCTGTCAGATGAGATGGTCCAAGGGGCCACTTGCACTTCAGTCTGGACCGGCCATAGATCTCTCTCTGGCACTCCACCTCTCTCAAAGCTCTCAGCCTTCTGTGTCAACCAATATATGGACAGCAGCAATAATCCTGCAGGTAGGATTTTATCCCCAGAACCCAAAGAGGTCTACCAGGTGCACTACTTTCTTCTCTGTGGTAGAAGATTCAAGATGCACTGATTTGTTTTTTACTTTGGAGGAGGCACCCTGCCATGCCCCTGACTATTGGATTCTTAAAAACTTTGTTGAAATGGCATGTTACTGAGTCTTCATAGTATTTATCTCCCACCCTCTGGAGCACAAGTATCTTACAGAAGCTTCTTACTCATCCTGTCCAATCAGTATGATGGCGTCAGTGTAATGGATCTGCGTAATGTTCTATGGAGTGTCTAGATCGTGTTCACATCTCTCTGTACTATATTATGAGAGGGGATAGATATGACATAGGGTAGGAGGGTTAACATGGTCATGGAACAAATTGTCAATAAAGATTTTTGTCTGTGCACATGATTGTGAATTGCTTCTTATCCTCTTTTTTTTTTTGATTGGTTGGAATAGAAAGGAATGCATGTATTGAATCAATGGCCAAATACCATGTACCAAAGGCCTTATGTATGTGCTTGAACAATGATACCATGTCCAGCACACAGTATTCACAACTGGGATTACCTGGTAAAGCCTCAGGTAGTATATAGTAATTCTCCAGAATTCATCCAATTTCTGCAGCAAATAGACTGACAAAGTAAATGGAAGTATGATGGGGACCACCACCCCTACTTTAGATCTGTAAGAGTGGCTCTAATCTTTGTCATGCCTGTTGTGATTTTGTTTGTAATTGACTATCTTGGCTGGGGGAAGGGGTGCAGTTTCATAGACTTCCACATGGCTTTCACGGCTGTTATGGTCAACTGAGAGACAGATAGACCCTGTGGATGAAAAGGGGGTCGCATACTAAACCTGACAGGCTCAGGGGATGCCAGCATAGTGGCCCTTACAAACTCAGACATCAAAAGTAACCACACAGGATGGTTTGAGCATAAAAATTCCTATCTAAAAGTGGGTTATGGAGGGGCCGGCCGAGTGGCGCGATGGTTAAGAACTCGCTTGGGATGCCAGAGGGCCCCGGTTCGGATCCCACATATGAGGGCCAGTGACACTGCCCTCTACAGCTAAGATGCTGAAGAACAGCTCAACCTGGAGCTGGGCTGCTGTGAGTCGCCAGCGACGGCGTGGGCTGCAGTCCCTGTGGCAGTGGGTTGCCATGGGCTACCGTGTGTGGCCGGCAGCCAGCGTGAGCGGCCAGCAGCCAGCGTGAGCGGCCAGCAGCTGCAGTGAGTGGCCATCCAGAAGCCGGCGACTGATCTGCCTCGCCCGGGAAGAGTGCAATGATGGTGCCAACTTGGGCCAGTGAAGCAACATCCTCCACAACTAGACTGAAGAACAAAATGACAGCAACTTGTCTGTCCCCCTTCCCCCAATTCCCCAGCACTGTTCCCATCCCCCCAATTCACCAATAAAAAAAATCTTAAAAAAAAAGTGGGTTATGGTGGGTAGTTATGTCCTAATGTAGCCAAGCCCCTTGTAATTGTAACGCCCTTGGTATTTTGGCAGCTAGAATTAAAAAATTGAATTCTCAAGTAGGCCTTTGTCCACATGCTAACAGCTCTTCTTGCTCGGCTCCTTTTGTTCTCACAGGATAATTTCGAGTTGCAGATGTGCTGTTTCTTTGTCAAGCAGGAGGGGATAGCTTCAGGGCCACAGGGAGAATTTACGAGTCTGTTTTGCAGGAGGAGGGAATGTCTCCAAGGTAGCTGCAACCAGCTGCTGGTGCTGAGGAGTTTGATGTGAAAAAGTGTTACCTGTGACTAAAGAACCATGGACTTCTCTCTCAGTTCCCTGGAACTCCCTCCCCTTAAAAAACCCTGCCCCAACTTCTCTCGGGGAGCCACCCAAACCTTTCCATTCTCGGTGTTGGTTCCCTTGTGCACAGGCTTACTAAACCTTTGCCTCTTGCCTGAACTTTCTTGGAGTGACCTCTTGATTTCCATCCTGGAAGATCACAAGAACCCAAGGTGCCAGTAAGACTAGGCCTTTAGCTTCCTTGACAAAAGTCAATCTTTACTTTTGAAATTGTCTATTACTTTGTGCATCAAAGATAACATACTTTTGGGGCGGCCAGTTAGCTCAGGTGGTTAGAGCACAGGCTTCTAACATCAAGGTTGCCAGTTCGATCTCCACATGGGCCATTGAGTTGCGCCCTCCACAATTAGATTGAAACATCTACTTGACTTGGAGTGGATGGGTCCTGGAAAAACACAATGCTCTCCAATAATTTTTTTTTTAAGAGAAGGCACCATTGAAATGTCTAGGGTAATTTTTTTCTAGCTTTCTCGAAGGCACAACCACCACCAGAGCACAAGACCACAATGTTATCTTGTTGCCCACATACCACCTCTATGTGCTCTAAAGATTAACTACCCTGTACCCACCAAGGTAAAAGAAATATGTGCCTCTCCATTTTAGTTTTTATCCAACCCAGAGATTTCCCCCCTTTTCTTTCTCCTGGCCCCTTAATCTACCACCAGTGGCTTTCATGTAACCCTCCGTACATCTCCTCCTTTGATTCTAATGTATAAAACAAGCTGCAAAACAGCTATTCTCTGGAGCTTTTTATCAAATCCATTGAGAAATTTGCAACCTGGCAATTGTCATCAGTTTGGCTCAAAGAAACTTTTTTTCTTAATTTTTTTTATTATCAAATAAACTCTTATAGGACATTCTTAGGCTGGATGTTCTTTCCTCAACAACCCACACCTAAAATTTGGTTTGGATGTCAAGACTGATGCTAGCAAGAGGGTAAGAAAAATTTCATTATTTACATAAGTGAAGGTTCTAGGGAAAGCAATACACACCTCTCAAGCAGTTTTGAAATGCTTGTGAAAAGAAAGCAAGGAAAAGAGAGTGGCCTGGGGTTTCACTGGGGTTAGGAAGTGGGGCCGAGGTGAGAGTTCTCACATGTGGGCAGGGGCATGATGGTTCACATCTCTCCCTGGTGCCAAAGTAGGGAGTACACAGGCTTGATGACCACCTTTCCCAGATATGGGGCACAAGGGGAAGAGGGAAGGCTAGCTCCAAAGGAAAGGTCAATTTCTAGATGAAATATGGGCTGGGGGCAGTGCTCCTCCCTGCACTGCCAGTGCTCTGAGAAAGGAGGCTCTTCTGACTTGAACAATAAACCTCCAATGGCCTGCACTGTGCCTGGCCTTAAATCATGGAGGGGTTTTGCTAAAAGGAAGAAAAATCAAATAAGGCTGAACAGCAGAACCTGTGGAAAGGGAGATGACATTGGGCCCTCTCAACTGTGTAGCCGAAAAAAGGGGTTCTATGGAAAGTGACCTTACAGGGTGAGCTGATCATAAATTCCTAACTGGGAAGGTCATGGTGGGTAGTCATGCCCCAGGAATATAACGTCTTTAGTAAAAAAATTATCTTTGTCTTAAGCAATCCCCGTCCATTGTTTCTGTGCATCTAGGATATTGCCTCTTTGAAATGCCCCCTTTCAGACCCCTCCTTCTAAAGGGTGAACACCTTCAAGAGAGCACAGAATCTCATTAACTACCCTGTAATCCATCCCTGTCTTGCTTTCTCCCACCTCTACGTAATCTTCCTTATGTTCCCTCCTTAATCTCAAATTCATAAAAGAAACCACCAAACTGTTATTCTCTGAAGCGCTTGAGATCTTGTCCCCCAGCATATGTCATCAGTTTAGCAAAATAAACTCTTATAAAACCTCTCTACAGGTGTGGACATTTCTTACGTCAACAGCTGTTTGGTACCAATGCCAACACAGAAACTACTCGCTTTAGTGTCACAGGACTAGATGGAGATGGAGACAACAGGAGAGTCACAACCATGATGTCACCCCAAGTATAACAGTTGACCTTTAGTTAAATGATACAGAGTGCCTGTCTGGGTATGAATAGTAATGTTACATTTCTAAACAGAATAAAAGAATTGGAGCACCATAAAAAGCATTTGGGAAGCAAGAGCAGAGATAACAAATCGGACAGTTTGGGAGACACTTGGAGAATCATCCATTCTTAGTCCACCCACCCCTCCCTTACCTTTGCACATACTGTAGGAGCAACATGCCCACCTGACTCACCATGGCTTTGGTGGCAGAAACTACCCACGTGCAGGAAGCGGTATAGTGTAATGAAAGGAGCACAGGTCCAAGACTTTAAAAGCCTAGCTTTACAACTCTGTGACCTGGGCAATCCCCTCGCTTCTCTTGAACTCAGTTTCTACCATTGAACAAGGAAAGGCTCCATGATCTTCCTGCCCACCCTCATCACCCTCACCCTACTCTTGGGAACTAAACCCCTCTCCACGATGCCCCAGAGCCCAGAGCAAGCAGGTGCACTAGTGGAGGGAGGGGAGGTTGGGGGGGGGTCCCCTCTGGGTGGATGGTCCAGCTGCCCTCCCCGCGTGTCCACAGTCCCAGCTCCTGGACAGTCCAAAGACCACTGTCCAGTGTCCAAGGACGACCGACATCAGGGCACCCGACCAAACAGCATCGGGCCACAGGAGCCCCTTTTGGCTCCTGGCGGGCACCCAGCTCCCTTCCTTTCTTCCACCTCCGCCCAGACTATGGTTATGGTCCACACGTGGTCAGAGGGGCCTGCTTTCACCCAAGGCCAGTGGGGCACCTGGTCCAGCAGGCCAGCGGGGGAAGGGCAGTGGGAATCCAAGTTATCCCCAGAAGTGCGAACGGGACCATCTGTGATCCTCGCGCGCCATCTGTCGGCCAGTGTGGGTTAGGCCTCAAGACAAACGCCGCCAAAGCAGCTCTGGACCCGGGCAGCCATTTCACGTTGAGGACTGTCGCATTCCCCGATAGGCAGTGCGACCCTAGCTCGCGGCTGCAGGAAATGGCGGCCCGGGCACCAGCACACACGAGCCGGGCGCAGGCGCACACAGTAAACTGTCATGCTTCGCTACGCGCAAAGGTGCGCAGGCGCACATCCGCGCTCGCGGCTCAGATCGCTGCAAGACTTGTGGGTTCTCACTGTGATCACTTTTTTTTCTTCCTAATCCAGAATCTGCCGACTTTCCACAGAGATCGTGAAAGCTCTGGCACGGTAGTTCCGAACACTGAACAGACATGAGAATAAATTGGGGAGCTATTAAAAGACACCTGTGCTGGAGTTCCAATCCAGGTCATCCTGCCTGTTGTCACTTGTTCTCCTTTCAAGGTTTTCAGGGGCTTTTGGAGCCCGGGAGACCCAACTAGCCACTCACCCTACTCCCCAGACTCCTACTGACTGAGACCATCCAGCCTACTCCACTCACTTCCTTTATATATTTCTGTTAAGACATTGCTACCTAGGTAGCGATCAACTTTTGGAATTAAAGCACCCCACATCTCCTCTTGGACCCTGCCCCCACCATACCCGAATGTGACTTGGGGTCCCAGGCCACTGCTGCCCCACAGCCCTGCCCTGAACAGACCCTTACCCTCAATTGCCCACAGCAGAGGTGAGACACAGCTGAAACATGAAATTTATTGAAGAGAAACATTTAACTGAAACCATTGAAGAAAGGGAATAAAAACACAGAAACTTTGAATGGCCACTAGAGCCCATAGGTCTCGGGCCCACCTCCTCCTTGGGGTCCCTGACGAGGTGCTTCAGCTGTCCCCCCTCACCTGGGCCCTCCTGCCATAGTCCCCCTTCCTGAGGGCCCCACCATTGGTGTTTACAGAATGGACGCTGCCCATGTCCACTCACTGCAGGAAACCCCTCCCCTTCTGGCCCACATGCTGGGGTCTGGCTCTGCCCTATGACCTGCACAGGACAGTCACAGCAGGCTGGAAAACACAGCAGCGGACACTCCCCCAAGCCGAGTAAACTGAGTCACAAGGAACAACAGGGTGAGACATCAGAGCACAATGCCCATGGAGACGCTGGCAGTCCCCCTCTGGCCCTGGTCCAGTTCTTCCTTCCTGAGGTCACAGGGTGAGCACCGGCCGTGCCCGCAGTCGCCTGGGGCTGGGCTCTGGGTCTCCACGGTGGGGTGGTCAGCGGGAGAAAACTGCTCACACAAAAACACACACATCTCCACAAGAACAAGCAGCGGTTGGCCTAAACCTGCATGGAGAAAGCAGAGGTTGAGTTAACGACACTGGACGAGAGCGAGCAGAGCTTTGGCTGGCAGGAAGCTCACATGTGCCGGGGCACAGAGGCGGCTGCCCAGGACACCCACCCGGGGGCACGCACACCTGGCGGTTCTGCACAGGAACCTTCACTAGTGTGTATTGTGTGAGTGGAGTGGCGTGATTACTTGACATGAGAGTCACTATGGGGCCTGCAGAGGAATGGGGTGGGGGCTTCCCAGTACAGGGAGCAGCCTGCCCCAGGGGACGGAGAATGGGAATCCCCATGACTGGCACCCCAGGGATGGCCCCTAACGACTCCCAGTCCAGGGCGGGTGGCAGACGTGTTCAGGTGCCCCTCACCTAGGCCGGGACGGGCTGCTGAGGGTGCTCCCAGGCTGGCTACCCAAGTTGGAAGGGTTTAGGGCTGGAGTTGGCCTTGGCAGCTGCTGAGTCGTGGTTCTCCAGGCCTGTCCCTGTTCTCTGCGTGCTCTCTCCAGGTCTCCAGTAACCCTGCACAAACAAGCAGAACATAC